TGGCAGCTCTGTGCTGGCAGGTCTGGATGCTTGAGTGGTGCCTTCAGGAGAACAGGGTCTTCCGTAGTATTTACAAGGTAGATTATGGAAAACACACACACTCAAAATTGTTTGAGGGCAGGCAGAAAAAGGAAGAGATAAGGAAAAAGTAAAGTATTAGTCTTTTCTGTGCCTTAAATCACAGTTGATCAAATGCTTAAAAGTTCCCCTAACAGAATGACAGGCTCCGAGAGGAAATCACACCTACCCCAAAGCCTGTGGGGTCAGTGATTTTAAAGGAGCAAGTAACACATTCAAGGGAACTGCTGTGAAGAACAGTGGTGACTTTGGAGGTTGAAGTAAGACTTTATGCTTTGATTAGAAATAATGGTATCTGGTAAAACTGAGAGAGACTGAGTTTCTCATGAAAAATTAAATTTAAGTATATTTGTACAAACTTTTGAAACACTATTATTTTTCTAGAAGACACAAATCAAGGCAGGAAAATTTAAGCCAATAATTAGAGTTAACAAGACAATGTGTTAACAGAATCCTTCTGTTTTCTGTTTTCTGATCTTCAGACAGAGAATGAATGGCCAGGCCCCTGCCCCCAAATGCATCTATGCAAGACTTTTTATGTACTATTATAGTTTGGTAAACATGATATTATTTGAGCCACCGCCTTTGACACTCTGGGTAAACAGTTTAAAAAATAAATTGACAGGATCAGAATTGACAGAATCTGAAAACAATATTCTGATAAGATCTTTGTTACTACAAATGGGGTTACACAAATGTTGAAATAAAGCCAGATACATTTAAGAAATTAGCTAAAATATATTTTAGATTTTGGGGTTTTAGCTTTAAATATAGTTTTAGGATACATCTGGGAGAAATATGTAATTATAGTAAAATATGCTCACTTGAAAGATGCAGAGCTTATATGGACCACATAATCACAGACATCAATTTAGAAAGGCTATAAAGTTGAAATTTGTGATTTTATTTACTTGTCCCCTCATTCAAAATAATCAATCTACAGTAAAAAAAAGTAACTTTGCAATATATCTTAGATATCTATATTAGTATGTCTAAATTTATTCTGCAAACTATGAAAATAATGTTCTATTTAACATTTTTTTAATATACAATAATTTTGAAACTATTTCTGTATTCAAATTCAGTGGAAAAAGAACTTTTAGGAGATATTTACTCCAACTATAACTCCCATACTTGCATTCGCAATGTCTCTTTTTAAAAAGGGACCCCAGTCCCTTTTTAGAAAGGTTCCCAAGTTAGCATTCTTCATTTCTTCTCTAAAAATAGAAAACTTGAACGAAAGTCAATTAGCTTTATTTGTCTTGTTTCCAGTGAAAGATTTTGTTTTCATGAACCCTAATAATTTCATGTACTTGCTCAATTATATCTAAAGAATTTCTGCATTTTGCCAAAATCATAGTTTCCTAAAATTCCTAAATTTACCTCCCTGAAGCCTTAGGTCAAGTGGATTATTTAGAAGAAAAAAATCCAGTGGACAAAATAATCTGGATAAAAATAACTCTGATGCTTAATTTAGGAAATTAACCTGTTGAAATTTCTTGCTCTCAGAAAGTCATCAGAAGAGGACAAGCAATAGTCATAATCTTGCACTGGTCAAAGCCATTTGGAGGCCCCTTGTCAAGCATTAAGCACCTTCCTATCTGAGCACAGGAATGGTGGGGCAGTTTTATGTAAGAAATTAATTTTTTTCTGCAGGGAGAATAGGCTTGACCACCAGAAACTCCTTCCCAATTAGCTAACATATGCCAACATATTAGCTACATAGTAGCTACAACTGAGTCACCAAGCTCTACTTCTGATAAGGGTGAAAGGTGTAAAAGACCAACAAAATATCCTTCTACTGAAGAATAAAAGCTCAGCCTGATGTCTAGCGCATGTAACTGCTATTGTGCAGATGGGAGAGCCCCGGTCTGGCAAGAGCCATGAGGAGGGCACTGAGGACACATTCATGGGAGGCTTACCTGACCCACCAGAGGATCCTGAAATACCAACTTTTCAATCATTTGGGGTTAACATTCTCAGCCCAATTACTGCTTTTCCAAGTCCTTTAAAAAGTGTTTTGGTGGCTGAAGTGACAGTGAGGCCAGGGACAGGAACTGGTTAAGTCAGAAACAAGGCAGTGTCCAATTGCAAATACCAAGTCAGCTTATTTCTTCGCCCTCTCTCTGCACACCACTGCTTCTACCACCAGCTTTTCAAGAGAAAAGGAATCCTAGGACTAACTCACTCTACTCGGCTCCACCATTAGAAAGGTGGAAGAGCTTGGAAGTCTTCTCCTCTTCCCTTCTCTGCCTCTGTACAGACTGTCGAGTTCCACTAATTTGGCTACAGAGATGGAAAAAGATAGTAATGATAGTAATAGGAAATAGAAGTAGTCAGTAGCAAAGCTGACTTCGGTACCTTTGGCTATTAAAAAAAAATCAAGAAGTAAATGGTGGATTGGGGGAGAAAGAATTTTTGATCTCCTGTCTCCTCGAAGACGGTGGTTTATAAATGTGGGGGCTTCTGGAGTCAAAACACTCCAATCTTAATGCCAAGCATGCAAACGCTAAGGTGTAGGAGGCAGGAATGAACGTAGGAAAACAGACAGCACTCCGCCGTTCCTGGGCCCCAGTGGGTCACACAGAGCAGTTGAGCACTGGGGGCCTGTCACCTCACTCTCCCTGGGTACTATCCCTTCCCCTTGTGGGCCTCCTCACACACCTCATCGCTGCCAAGTGTATCGTGTCTGTCAGTCTCACTGTAATCAACCTTACAGTTTGCCTGTTGTTCTCCCAAGGTGGCTGGTTGACCTATTGTCCCCAGAGATGTCTCTCTACCCTCTGTGTCAGTCTTTCTCTGCTCCCTGGGTCTGTTTTTGACTGGAGGTTGGCCTCTTACTGCTGGTTTCTTCCTCTCCAGCTTGTGTTTTTCTCTTTACATTTCCTGACCTACCTTCTTCCCACTGTCGTTCCTTCCCACATTCTCCTTTTGGAGCAGACAAGCTTATCTCTACATCTTGCAGGGCTGAGTTTCTCTCTAGTGTCTGCCTCTGTACCTCTCTGCCTGCCGATCTGACTTCCCCCAGATGGAACTCCCACTCCATGCTGGTGCTGGTCTCTTCCCCTCAGGTGCACCTGTCTGGGAGTAGCTACTGACACATGCAGTTTTATACTTCTTGTATCTCGTTGCATTCCTATTGCTGGGTGTACACTGACCTCTGAGCCATTCATGACACTCTCCCTGGGATTTCTTGGTATTTGGGAAAGTATCTTTCTCCCTGTGCATGCATTCCTCCTGCGCCCCCTTCCCCAAGTCTGAGTGTTTCTCATCATATGTTTTTCAGGTGGATGGCATATGTGCCCTGAAGTGTACATTCAGGTGTCCACTCACTTCTGAATGCCCTCCTGGGAGCATGCTCACCTCTAGGAGTCTCTCCTGATGTTTACATGTACACTATCATGTGAGTTCATGTACTTCCCATGCTGTGCACAACTGTGTGCCTCCCTGTGTGCATGTCTGTGTAGGAGGCCTCTCTGAATGTGAGTCTCCCTTAGCCCAGGTTCACACATTCCCAGTGAACCAGGGTTCACAACTCTCCAGTGGCTCTGCCTCCAACTCTGTCTTCCTTCTATGCATTTAAAGTGCCTGGCACTAGTGGGAGCTCAACAGATGTTAAATCTCCATTTTTATCTGAATAACTGAGTCTGCATCTGGGTGTCCCTCTGTGCCTGTTTTATGAGATCAGTTAATTGGAGCGTGTTTCCTTAGTATGGACTGGGCTATTTGTCAGGATGCTCTGAAGGTTTCTCTCTCTCTCCAACGGTCTGTTCTTTCAGAGTAAATGTTACCCCTCCTCATATGGTATATCCCTCCCCTTACACCAAGTGTCCACTCCTGTCTTCCTCGTCCACACAGTCCTACATGTCCATAAACGGCTTCCCCACGCATCCTGGTTGCTGTCTCTTCTCTCGGTCTCTCTCACCCCTTCCCTCTCCTCCTCCTTCCCTCATTTTTTTTCAACGTGGGAACGCGTTCCCGAGTTTGTACTCCAATTGTGGCGTTATGTGCGTCTACATGAGCCTTCACTGTACTCGAGTTGTGCGTCCGTGGTTCCCTCTCCGGAACGCGGTGCAGGGTGAGAGACCGAAGTCTCTGCCCGGGATACAGTATATCCTCCCACCACGCTCGCTCCAGGTCTCTACGGCCGTGGATCCACCCGGGACGCCGCGCGTCCTTCCTCCACGAATCTCTTTCCTCCCCAGTAACCGATGCCTTGCTCCCGGGAGAGCACTGGGTGTGTAGCTCCCCGGTACCCGGTGTTGGTGCGTCTCTGGGAGCGCGAAGCGCCTGTGTCCCAGCCTTTGCTAGCACACGGTGTGCCCCGCCATACGCGAATAGCCTATGTCCCCAAGTCCCTGCGAGTACAAGACGTGTCCCACCTCCATACGCGGAGCGCCTGTGTCTCCGTCTCTGCGGGTCCTCGGTGCCTATGTGCTATCCCCCAAACGCGGACCACTTGTGCCAGCGTTCCTTCGGGTTCGTTATCGGTAAGACGCCCAGCCCCCGCCCCCGCCGCGGGGGTGGGCAGCGTAGTTATCTCACTCCTCACACTTGTCTCCGAGGTACCTCTCTCCCTCACTGGGACAGAAAATGCCAGGAAACCCGCGGGCGCCGTCGGAAAGTCCCGCAGCTGCGGCGCAGCCAAGATACGGCTGCGGTTGCCTCGGCCCTGCCGCCAGGGGCCGCCCGCCCGCCCGCCTCCCCACGCCTCCATGCCGAGCTGGCCCCGGACGGCGTCGTCAGCGACCCTGCCCGGCCCTGTCTAGCCCTGCCGCCGCGGGCGCTGACGGCAGTGTCGACGAGCCACGACTCCGCCAGCTCCGCGCTGGGTGTCGGGGGCAGGGTGAAGGTGCGGCCGGGCGGCAAGGGGCGCGTTCTCCCTCCCCGAGCCCGGCTGGTTGGCCGGCCGGGCCGCTCACCTTGTGGCTCTGGTAGGTCTCGAGCGCTCGGATCGCCGTCTCGGTGAGCTTAACGTGAAGTACGGTGATGTTGTCCTGCCCCAAGCGTCCGCAAGACAGCCCATAGCGCTGCTCTTCCCGCAGGCCCGCAGCCCCCCCTGCCGCCATCTTAAACTCCCCGGGGTGCCGCCGCCGACGCCGCTCGGGCACTAGCCTCCTCTGCGGCCGCGGCTGCTCGGGCTTCTGCAGCCGCCGCCACAGCTACGGCCATCCCGCTGCTGACGTACTGTCATATACTGCGCGCAGCCAGATCTCGGGCTGCCACCGCCGCCACCCGCCCCACCCTCCTGCCCCGCGCCCCGCCCTGAGCTCGTCTCATTGGCCCCGTTCCCCTCAGAACCGCCCTCATTGGCTGCCATCCACTCTCACGGGGGCGGAGCCCAAAGTCGCGGAGTTTTGCTCTCCGGACGGGACGTCCGAGAAGTGAGGCTGACGTCGGGGTGACGCGCCAACTTAATCATGTCTTACGTCACGTCTAGCCGTCTTGGCTCGCCCTCCGGGATTGGCCAGGCTGATTTGCGGGATCCCCTGCTAATTGGGTGTCCAAGTGGCCTGGCCTGGTTACCTGAAGTCGCAGCCCTGCCCCTTGGGGGATAGTAGTGGAGAGTAGGGCAGAGCCTCTTCCTGAGCTGGTGATCCTGAGAGAGAGACCCTTACCCTAAATGTGTGGCCAAGTAAGGGCTCCGTCCCCCGACGGCTGCGGAAGCTTCTTGAGATCAGTGTGTGCATGTGAGGGAGGATGCAGTTGGTGGAGTCACTAGAGAGCTTCTCAAAACTCAGTTTAGTGCTGTTGAGCAGATGGAATTGGGAAGGATGCCCTTCGTCTTTTCACACTAAATTTGACATTAGTGAGTCGACCCCAGGCTTCAGGAGTTGTGCTAGATTGTGTGGAACGTTTTAAATACATGCCTAAGGCTTAAATGCCTTTGGTGTAGAGTGGATATAGTAATTATGGAAAATTGAACTTCAAAGTCTTTCCCATGCCATGGAACGTATTCCATTCCTCTGGAGCTCGCCGAGGGGGGCAGGGTTGTGCCTTTTCTTGGGGCTTGGAGGGGCACTCTTGGTTGGAGTGGTATCAAGGGCAGTGGGAGAGTAAAACTGGCCTCCGCCTAAATTAATCGACACCTCTCATTCTCTGGTTCTGTTTGAGTTCTGTCCATTTTAGTTGCTAGGGATGTGGGAAAATCTAGCTAGGGTTTAAGCTATTGATGGGGGTGTGAGGGTGTGGGGAGGCCGAGCATATTTTCCATTCCTCACGATGCTCTGCGTGTAGGCGTGGCTAAAGGAGGGAACCTAATCAGGAGCCCTTTCAAGGCTGTGTGTGGATAGCCTGGCAGGATTCCCCTTCAGAGGTTGAATTAACTGGGTGGGTGATCAGAAACATGAGATAGAAACAAACCATTGAAAGGCTTGAAACTGTTGAAAGGCAGTTTTAAAAAGTTACTTTTTTAAAAAAAAATTGAGACTCTTGTTTCCCTCAGATTGTAAAACATCAATGCGTTTTACAGGGATTCCCCGGAAAAACCCACAGGCATTTAATCAGTATTCCCCATCTTTTTAAATTGGATAAGGCTACATTTCCCAAAAAGGTCCAAGTGGGAGTTTTTCATGATTTCCCATCCCCTTCCGCCCCCGGGCACACGCACTGAATAAATAAACCCCTCCCCAGCCTATGGGTACACTACCTCTTGATTCAGACTCTCAAGCATTGTATGTGTACAATATGAATTACAGAACTAATTCTCCTTCCATAGAGTAATGGGTTAAGTTGAAACACCTGTATTAAGTGTTGTTCTATCACGAGAGCATTTTTTTAAATTGACTTAATTTCAATCCACTAGAATTGGCTGTGTTAAGACATGATTAACATTTGTTAATTTAGTTTACTAGCGTATTGTCTAAAATGCATTGAACAGAGAAATTAGGACAATCACAAAAAAAATCCAAAAATATAATTTTATTCTTGAATTATATTTTTCTTGCGCTTGCTTTATTTTGATAGGGAAGTAGTATTTACTTTGACATATCTAAATCCTTAATTATTTGGGGGGGTGACGGTGGGTGGGGGTGGAGAGGGGGAGGAGTTTGACCAGAACAAGTAAAACCTGTATCCCACTGCTTTTCCGGTGATGGTGGGTAAATCCCCGCCCACATGGCATCTTAACTTGGCCTCTTATTACTCAGAACTTCTGATGACATCTGAGAGGTGGGGAAGGAGCAAGGGTGGTTTTCACTGTAATTTTCAAATGTGTGACCTGCAGCCACTTTCTAGTAATTGATTTTCTTAATTGTAGTAGAAATTTTTTTTCTCATGCCTTATTTTAATAGGTAACATAATCTTTCAGTGGGTAATAAATTATTGTAGTGAGTTCTTGTTTTTTTTTGTATTTTTCCTCTTTTGAGTTTTTCAGTAGGAAGAGATGGCAGGAAGCAATGACCATATACAAAGTAATATGGTAATCTAGTAGCATTGCGTAATACACATGCCTGCCTGAATCAGATGGGCAAGATGTGATACTGATAAGGGTAATTCCTTTTGAGGAGGCTGATGAAAATTGCTCTTTGGGAAGTTTGCCATTTTATAGATATTTTCTGTATCATTATTCAGTTTAAATAATTAAATAATTATTGGATGACAAGTATAAAATTCTGTAGAGATTTAAAAATCAAACGGTATAGCCTCTTATTTAAAGGAATTTTCTGTTTAAACATGGCACGTAAGCTAAGATACTGAAAGCAAAGCAATTAGTGAATTTAGTAAATGCTAATTTGAGTGGTAGTGGTGATAAGCTCAAAAATGTAAAGAAAGAAGTCTGGAGAGGTTTGGTGAAGGCGGTAGAACTTGAACAGCTCTCAAGGGCTGAGCAAATTCTAGATAAGTGGAGGTGGTATACATGGGGAAAGGCCAACTAAAAATGATCTTAATGATCATTCTAGCTCGGGGGTCGACAAACTTTTGAGATGGAAGAGCCAATCCTGTCCCTCACAACAATTTAAAAATTATTCGAGAGCCATAAATATATTTTTTACAAATAAGGAACAATTTTAAATCCTTTAAAAATTTTATAAATGAAACTATGATAGTTTTATTTTCAGTTTCAGTTTCACTTCAGAGCCACATGTATGTACCCAAAGAGCCGCATGTGGCTCACGAGCCGCAGTTTGCTGACCCCTGTTCTCGCTGAACCCATTCATTTTATGAATGAGGAAACGGAGACACCGTTAATTTAAAAGCAACTGGCTATCCACCTTAAAAATTAAACAGCCAAGGTTATTCAAGCGGCAAATGAGTTGATTTGGGAATAGAAAAGGAGTTGAAAGTTGGGATGTGCCAACTATTGGGAACCATAGGCAAGTCCGAAGAGACAGGAAGGTCAGCTTTCTTGGGTTCCAGGAGAATACCGGGGAGGGGTGTTTTGAACAGGAGCCCATTGGTGGGGAAGGAGAGTTCGAGGTTGTGGCAGTTCTGTATTGGCAGCAAGCAGAGAGCAGCTGCCGTTGCTGAGGCGAGCAGGGAAGAAATCTTCCTTCTTCTTGCTGGCTATAGAAGCTTCCATGAGTGGGAGTATGTGAGAGTGCTCCCTTCATGGCTTCCAAACAATTTGAATGTTTCCTTCATTCATGTTCAGAATGCCTAACTTATTATAACCAGGAGAGGCAGAGTGTGAATCAGCTGGTTAAGTGCCCTTCTAGTCACTATGTACACTGAGTAGCTATTATTTAGATTATATAACTGATAAAAATATGTTTTACAGGGTAATTCAGTGCAAGGAACAGGAAAAAGGGAAGCAACATGCTGTAGGGCCTCTTCCATCTCTGATGTCCAGCACACCGTGCAGGTGGGGACCTGTGAACATCAAGGCTTTTGCAGGCCTTCAAATGCCAAGTCATCCCTCAGTCCTGGTTGCCACATACTTAGTGACCATTTCTCACTTCTCTCTGGAGCTGAGGTCACCAATTCTGATGCTCCCAGGGACTATTATTTACCCAAAATGAGTGGAGCAAGCCAGACACAATACCACTGGGACTGAAGGTGTTAAAACTGTGGTGAGCTGGGGGTGTTAAAAGGGCTTTGTGGTTTTCTGGTGCAGCTGATTGTTCCCAGGTGAAGATGGAGGGGCCCAGTGTTGTATAATCCTCTCATTTTTCAAGGAAAGCTGGAAATAACAGAATTTTACATGAGCTTTCTGATGTTTATTTGTTGACTAATTAAAAGTTTCAATAAACATTTTGTGGACATTAAAAGTCTTTGGGCCTGAGTTAGCCCATAGCTTTCTAGTTTTCAACCTCTGCTTTAGTGATTTCCTGCACAAAAGGCCATTCTGTGTTATACCTGTCTTAATAGTTTTTTGAGTTATTTCTTAAAGCCACTTATAAAAAAGTTTGTACTAATGTCTTAATTCAAGGCAATGTCTTCTGTTATGAAAGGAAAGCACAGAACCTTTTAGAGTTATAGCAGAGAAGCTCTCTGGAAAAATTTCCAGGTGGAAATTCTTTCCCCTTGAAATTCTCCCTGATGCCTCCTGCCCCCATTGTGTTGGACGCCCCACCATTATTCTGCTCTCCTGTCCAGACTGTGCCCAATTATTGTATCCTGTATGATTGTTTTTTACTTCACTCTGTGTAAGTATAAGAAATGTCACATTGCATTATTTATCATCATCATCACCATCACCATCATCATCATCAATGAATCTGACTCTGATTTCCCCCATCTTACTGAGCAGTAGAACAATAAATCCACAGGTCTTACAGAGGTCCCAGAATGGATGGGGAAGCCTCTCTGGTTTGTGTCCATAACTGTTGGTATATCCATTAGAAGTTCAAGAATTTCCCTTTAGGAAGGGTTTGGGATTGGGTGCAATCTAAATGGAAGGAACCAAATGACCTGAATTGAAACTGGGTTTATATAGCAAACATACTGGTTTTACATAGATCATGTATTTATTTGATGGTGGCACTAATGGGAATTATGAGAAGGAAGGCTGCAACTCTCCATAGCCACCAAAACAAAACATATATGATGATGGTCTACATGATTTCCTGAAAGGCATAGCTCATCTGGGAACTTTGCAGGGACTGACAGCATTGGGGAACCAGGCCCAACCTCCATCTCCATGTGTGCACTTTCCTGGGGAGCTGAAAGAACAGTGGACTTAGGCTGTACCCTTCCTGGGATTGGCAGCCCCTGCCCGTTCCCAATCTTAGGGGAAGCTATCCCAGCCCTGGACTTCCACTTCTACACTCCCTTAATCTCCAAAGTTCTTCCCTCCTCCTAAGAGACTGTTTTTTTCAAAATTTGATCTGGGAATAAGGAAATGACCTCCCACCCCCCTGATATCCCCCTACCTCCAATTCAAAGCCTTTCTTTTTTTTTTTTTTTTAGGTTTCTTTCTTTTTTTTTTCCAATTTATTTTTCACTTACAGTTGACATACAATATTACCGTATTTCC